TTGCAGAGGGCCACACCCAGGAGGCACACGCGCACCCGCTGCTGCCTAGACCAGAAATCCACTTCTGCGTCCCACTCTCAAGTCGATACGGACGCTACACACAGATTGCGTTTTCAAACATGACTTGACCACATTTATCATTTCAGATTACCGGCGGATGAAATAGCAGAGCTTGTTGTAAAAACGTACGGCGAGGCCCTATCCTATTTCTGTTGCCACACGCGTCTTCCTGGACTGCCAGCATCTTTTTGCGGATTCATAAAAAGTCAAATGTGAAATGTTGTACGGGAGCCTCAAAACGCCATCCAGGCATAGTTCGTATTGCCGGGAGTCCACACATCGTGTCGTCACGTCATGCGCCCATGCATAACGCAACCATCGTCTTGTGCAGAATGAGTGGTTCATTTTTTTTTTTTTAAGCCAAGCAACACATCAATCCACATTCTGAGCCGCTTATCTTAATTTGTACAATTTCTAATTGTTTTACTACAAAGACTGTAAATCTGAGATTGGAGGTACATGTGCATGGAGGTAGATTGGAGGCATTGAGAGCATTTCAACAGGCTTTACTGGAGGTGCGCACCTGTCTGAGCGTGTGCAGGTGTTGCTCCTGCTGCTGCAGGTTCCACAGACTCTGCTGGATGAGGTCATCCATGGCGGGTGTGGTCGCGGCGGCGGCAGCGGCGGCGGCGGCAGAGGACGGCGGCGCCAACATGGCCATGGGCGGCGGCGGGATGTCCGGCACGTCCAAAGCGCCCGGGTTGTAGAGCTCTGCACACACGGGAAGTGCACGCGGCGTCAGCACGCGCGTTCACCCAAAATGGCAACGAGGAGACCACCTCGTGGATGAAATGCCTGCAGAGGCGGTCAAGACATTTCATCATCCGACTCTGCCCTCATCAAATTCAAGAGGATATTTGGAAAGCCTTTCATATAGCGATATTTTGAAACTTCCATGTTATGGCAGGGGCAAAAAAAAAAAGAGGTCTTTCGGGGCTTTTTCAAAGTCTGGAAAACTTAGGGGGAATAATACCCTTCTTCTGCGGGCACTTTTGTCGTTTCAAATACACAAGGTAGAATTCTGCGCTCGTATCTCAAGCCAAAGCAAACAATCTTCACCGATGGCGGCTCGTATCTTGGGAAAATCATAAATCGGGGAATTGACTTCTCAAGACGCGCTGTGCGATCAAATCTAACGTTGGCCAGCCATGCCGACGCGACCAAGCTGCTGCATGGACACCTTTGTGCAGGTGCTTAACACTGACGCCAGGCGACAGGGCATCGCGCTCGGGTCGCCATCACAAGCGTTACGCCAAAGCGTCGTGGAAACTTCAGATTATGATTCAAGACAAAGCAGCAGAGTGAAATTTCTTGTTCCCTCCGTGCATAGAGAATGTGCCTGTGCGGACAGTCACACGCGCCATTTGTGTGTGTCTTACTCCTCTGCAGTTTATCATTGCTGTAATGTCCGTCGTTTCAGTTAGCCCACCTGGGGCACTTCACATTATATCGGCGATGATGAAAAATGGATTTCTTGTCGGCTCCGTTTGTCCGTGTTGTCCAGTCATGTTTACGTCACGGTTGTATGGTGCAATGCAAATGCTAACTCCATGAGGCCGCCGACTGCGTTTTCCATTATATGTTCGCATTAAGCCGGCAGACTCGGGTTATATGAAATGATGTGGTTTGGGGGAATATACCATGTTTTCTTATCTTATCTTATCTTATCTTTAATTCCTCTCCGTTTGGTTTTTATGGTAAAGTGGGACCAACAAACATCTTCAAATCAAGCAGGCATCCCCTCTTGTTTGGAGAGGCGTGCCAGCAGGCACAAAGAAATACTTTTTAAACTTCAAATAGTATTGAAAGCATGTGGGAGGGGTTAAAACTTTAACAGCGGTTTGACCGGACGCCTACAGCACATCTGCGCACCTCTCTCGGACGGATCTGCATCGTACCGGCAGCAATCAACAGAGCTCCCTCTGCATCCCCTTTGAACCAGACGGCATGGCAAAACACAAAATACAATGTCATGCCATGAGGACAAAAGAAGCAACTAAAAACAAACTAAAGAGTCGCCAAGCACAAGCAAAAAGCTGAAACTCTGAATGGATCTGGCAGCTTTGCATCCAAATAAATACCTTCAGATTTATACTCCTCCCCATCACGGGAAAAGGGATCTAAGTGGAGAAGAAGCACATTTTAATGCAAACCTGCACGCCAACAAAAATGGCGCGCAAGACGGTCGAGGTTTCAGGGCGTCGCACGTGAGCAAAATGCCCATATTTGGACGGCCGTTGCGGAAGTACATACGTTGCTGCTGCGCCAGAGCCAACTTGCACTTGTAGTAGCTGAAGTAGTCGCCGCCGAACAGGAAGGAGAATTTGGGGTTGTCCTTCTGCTTGTCCATGGTCATCTTCTCGAACTCGGGACCATTGCGGGCCACGAACTGGGCCAGCTTGTCAATCACGTTCCGTAGCTCCTGATCTGTGACGAAAGTAAATATGGAGGCTTATTCTCTAGGACTTGGAAAATGCCATCAGTGGAGGAATTTGCGTGTCAATGATGAAGAAAATGCCGAGAATTCGTTAAAAGGGGACAAATGTTCAATGTGAGACTTGGAAAAGGGTAAATTATAAGACTAAAGTGGGGACAATTGCTAAAATAACCAAGGGTGCTATGCAAACTGAAAGAAAATCAGCTACCCACATTTGCAAAGTCAAACCTTTGCACCGCAACTAGCACACTTGTGTTGAAATGAATGTCTGCTATGCAAACATTTGAAGACACTGAATACAGCTAAATGTTCATCATCGGCTTCAGTTAAAAAAAAAAGTTGGTTTGGTGGAACCCTTTTGTTGTTTTCATGCACTGCAACAAGTTGTGTGTATTTTTATGTGGACGTTTATAAGGCAGGGGGCCAGTTGCGGCCTCATTCTGAAAACTTTCCACATTAATTTGGATGGCGTGATGCGTCAGATGAAGGGGTCATCATTAACAGAGGATTGAGGAAATGTGTTGAATTAAAGCGAGTTCCAACTTGCTGCATCAACGGTTCATGCAGCAGGTTCAAAATATTGTTTGAATTGAAACCGTTTTTGTGACGAAAATTCAAATTGCTCATATGATTTGGAACAAGATTTGCAGCAGGATAAACAATTTGTGCAAGTATGTTCCAAATAGGAACTTGGAATTATTTACGCAAAAACACAAAATGCGAATTTGGAACTGCCCTTTCTTTTCAAATTATTCGACGACAACTATATTCCATTGAGATCAAACTGGTGAATGCGGCCCCTATACTCGTATGAGTTTGACGAGTCCGATTTAGGACGAGTTACGGGTTTGAATCGCGTCAGTCGAAAAGCTAAACAGCACCCGGGGTAGGCTAGCGCGGTTAGCATCCGTGCTAGCCACCAACTCAATGGCGCACGCAAAACGTAGCCGCGGCGCAATTCCTCACCTTCCGGGGGCGTGGGGGTCTCCATAATCACGGCCGCTTATGATAGTTTTGATGAAATTGTGCAGTAGAGTCCAAGATGTCGACAAAACGGCCCTGCTAACTCATTTAGGGTCCGGGTAAAAACGTTTGAAAAACACCCGCATTGTAGCTCACTGCCGTGGAACGGAAGCGGAGGACAGGAGAGCAGTCAAATATGCCTACAGCGCCCCTGGCCCTGACAGTGGTCGGCGGTGGAATTGCGAGCAAAAGCTCGCATTCTCTCACTCACTGTTTTGTTTTGTTTTTTGGAATCCAGGACGTACAAATGCAATAGCAATGGGTAATAACAATGAGACAAGGAGAGGACCTTACACTATAGCAATAAATTATAAAGGGCGCATCAAGAGGAGGTTTTATGTGCTTTCACTTTTATGGCTTTTCCTACACTTTACTTCTTTTTAAAATATACAAAAGTAATATTTCAAGAGTGGTGGTTTTCGAACATTAAGCCACGTTCGTCTTTTCACACGCACATTCGGCGTTTTAGACTGTCCCCATTTTGCACATCTTGTTCTCCCAGTAAAATTCACAATGACATCCGCGCAGTTTTCGATCGAATTATTCACGAAATATGCATTCCACACAGGGTGTTAAAGTTAAGGACTTAGTGATGATAAAAATGGACGTAAAAATGGCAACAGGGCGAAAAAAACGTGAGAGGTGAAGTGTGCGATTGTCGTTTGTGACGCGTCGCTCGAGGGCGGGTGGGTGATAACACACCTGCGGCGGACAGGCTCGCCCAGTCCACCGCAGACGCTCCAACATTAACGTGGAGGGCTCGACGCCGACCAAAACCACCGACCACACTCACTAATCATCATCACGTGAAGCCACTTTGTAGGTGACTGGCTCGTTGGCCTGCGGCAAATCAAATGCAGGGCTCACATGTCGTCGCTGGACACACACGCACACCAAAGACAGCAACAATAACTAAACATCCCAAATGTCGACAATCCCTTCTTCGAGGTCCAGCTGCCAGGTTAGACGAACATGCTAATGAACACGGCAACAGGGTAGGAGTTTCTTTTCTCTTTTTTCCCCCGATCCGCGTTATCCTCACACAGGTCCCATGGCGTGCTGGAGCCTATCCCAGCTGTCTCCGGCCATTACGCGGGGTACACCCTGAACCGGTTGCCAGCCAATCGCGGGTCACACACAGACGAACAACCATCCTCACTCACACTTAGGAGGGGCTATTTACTGTCATATGGACTATAAATGTGAACTATGACCACTTGCAGAACGGTGGTTGGGGATCACTGATCTAGAGTACAGAGCAGCCCAACAAAAGACATGAGTAACCTGCCAGCCAGTACTATAAGTTGCTCACCGAAGGCCCGTTGCAATTTTCTCAGAATGTTGTCAACTTACTCCGTGACAGAGCACTATCACAGAGAGCGTTGACAACTTGCCATGTATCTGGCCTTCTTTGAACATCGCCTAGGGGCACAAATCAACCAAACTCGACCCCTCATCCCGAAAAACAAGAGGCAGTGGGTATAGTCAAACATTTATTCAGACAAATTAGTCCTTCTTGGCAGCGGCCTTCCTCATGGCGGCCAGCACGTTGCTCAGCTCCTCACGCTTTCTCTTGGCCCGGATGTGGGTGCCAATCTGCACAAGAGTTCAACAAGTCTTAAAATAACAGCACACAACTCAATTTTGATTAATGATGATAAATGGGGCAATTGGAGGTCAGCCACTTGTTGGTGCTTTGAGTTGGAAAAATTTTCAGTCAAAGGCGGGAGCAGGACTGGCTCACCCTTTTCTTGATGAACTTGAGCGCCCGCTTGTCCTTGGACACTTTGAGCAACTCCATGGCTCGCCTCTCGTACGGAGCAAAGCCGCACACCTCGCGGATCATGTCTCGGACAAACTTGCTGTGCTTGGTCAGACGCTGGAAAAATGCAAAGGGAAAAGCAGGCGTCACGTGTGAGCTGAGCGTTATTTGGAACCGGTGGCAGTGGCGCAACGTCCGATCTTGGATCGAGAGAAACTTACCCCGCGTCGGCGGCTGTGTTTGGGGGCGGTGACGTTTTTGGTGACTCGGTGGCCTTTATTGAGGCCGACGGCCATCGGGTAGCGAATAGCCATGTCTGCAAAGGACAAGAACGCATCAGCGAATGTCGATCCGCTACGTTGTCATAATGCGACCAGATGGAGGGCACCTGAATAGTATTCCAAAACAATTTGCCCTTTGACTGATGAGTCAACACTTAGGTTCACTTCCGTGCAAATTCATGATGCGCTGCTGTAGCAGGAGTACACCATTTATGTGCAACCTCAGTCAATCTTGTTTTTTAAGTTGAACACTAATAACACACTCCCGAGTAAATACACGGTAATCTTTGGGGTACCATGTATGGCCACTATATATTAAAAAATCCCTAAAACACAACCCAGTACTTGGAACTCAGCCACTCCGAAAAAAATATCCCCGCCATGCATTCTGTGAATTTTTTCAACCTAGGAGCACAGCGTCTCAGCTTTGGACGAACCGATTCCCATCCCGACCGCTTCTCACTCTAACTGTATCCCGCTCAACACCACCGCTGCGTATCCGTGAAGATAAGGAACAGAAGCTCAGTGCAACGCGAATTGGAATTTGTTTACGATTGACGGCGGTTTTCAAACACGGCGATTTTGTTTTAAACTCTACGAATCGTATTACAGGTCAAAAAAATAACGTGCTGCGCATAGCCCACAGCATTGCCACATTACGTTCATTCTATTATGCTTGCAAAGTAGCGGTGACGTTTCATTGCAGTTAACCGCTCCATTCAATTCTTCGGATGGTCAATCGACCACTGCTCCGCGCTTGAAAGACAGACGCTCGGTTTACCTTGAACGCTAACGTGCTTGTTCAAAGAAGTGAGACGAAACCTCCTCGCTGGCGTAAAATACACCAGGTTAATGTTGAAAACAACATCTTATTTCGTGTACTAGCTCGTGCGTGTTGTCTAAGGAATAGCGAAACCATTCCAGAAGTCGATACTGGCTGTTGAGACACTCTCAACTTGAATATCCTCGGTCGGATTCCCCACAATAAGCAACGCAAGGGGTGAGCTGAGCCAGAGGGTTGTTGTCAGTTCAATTGCTCGAAGATGAAACGATGGATGGCTGAGATTCTAAACGGGTTTGGTTTGGAGAAAATCCCGGTGAATTCGTACCTGCTGTCTGTAATGGCGGCAAAGCCGGAAGGACTGATGGCTGCACCAGGCGGCCAAGTGAAGGGTTCACCCGGAAGACAATGACGTCCGCGGGACAGCGCCACCGTCAGACTGGAGGATGAAGCCATGTTTAGTTATCTTTTCGAGAAGTACGGTTACACGACGACTCAAGTACCAAGTACGTACGTACTAGTATTATCTGGAATCCAGACCAGTGATATACAAGAAATCCAAATATGAGTGAAATTCATAAAAATATTCCATATTTTGTATTATCATGTATATGTATTTTTAATCACATTTAGCTGTACAATAGTATAATAATTATATGTCGGCGGTAAGGTAGTTGACTGGTCAGCATGTCCGCAGATGTCATGGGTTTGATTTTGGGTTCCGGTCCTCCTCTTAGGAGTTTGCAAGTTCTCCCCGTGCCTGTGTGGGTCTTCTCTGCGTACTCCAGTTTCCTCTCACATTCCAAAAACATGTATGGTAGGTGAATTGAATATGCTCAATTGTCCCCAGGTGTGAGTTTGAATTGTTGTTTGTCTCCGTGTGCCCTGCGATGGCCTGGCAACCAGTTCAGGGTGTACCCCGCCTACTGGGAAAAGCTCCAGCACGGTGCGACCCTTGTGACGATAAGTGGCTCGATTAATGGGTCTTCTTTCTTTTCATAAGAAAAGACAAAGCAGTGAAATTCATGTACTTTTTCCTTGTTTATTATTTACAACGTAAAAAAAACTGGCAACTACTGTGGAAAATACTTCACTATGTCAAACAGTTATAGAGCTGTAACAGATACAAGATTAAGTCATATAAAATACATTGATCAATGCAAATTAAGTTGTAATATGGATATATTTGTTTTTACAAAGCAGACAGACATTAAAGTCATTCAGGCATCAGAAAAACAAGTAAGAGCCAAGATGATAACATTCCACGAATAGCACATGACGTAACACGACGTGATTTACACGGAAGTTATTCCGTTATCTCCCTTCATGAAGTTTGGTGAAATGAATGAAATGCTTTAAATATTTGAGATTCCCTTATTTATATAAATAAAATAACTTTTGTTTGCTGGAGGTCACGAACAAACAATCGATCGGAATCAGCCGTCTTTGTTGTTTTCAATCGCGTTAAACGCTTCGAGGTCGGACCTGGGACAACCCGAGTGGGAGAAATCCGATTTTCCGAACCCTCAGCGAATGCACCATAAATCTGGATTCGGGAATATGGAATGTCGCGAAGAATAATTATGAAATCGAAAAAAATAAAGTTGACTTTGCTATCATTGTTCGAGGAAGCAAGCAATACATTTTTCATATGGCAAGTACTGACTGCGTTCTCGAGCCGTGACATCAGCTCGGAGTCAAATGGTATTGTTTTCCCATCCTGCATTGCGCGACCGGATGCGCTCCCTGCTTTTGGCGCGGTGGAGGCAGCTGTGGCGGCCATTTTGGAGTCCCCTTCGACCACTCCGCCCGAGTCCCGAGCGAGCGAGCGAGTGAGAGAGACGTAGCTGTCGCGTAGAACTTGCCCGCCTCCCATTGATCTATCGCCCTTCGTCCTTTCCCTCGCCGAGCCCCTTTATCTTTTTCCGTCCCAATTCGACGAGGACGACGGACACCGCGTGCTCTCTTGGCCGCCGAACGAGCGAAGGAATCGTCGAAGAAAGAAAAGCGAGCCGTTATGGCGACTGCAACCCCAAGCCGTGATGCTGGCCGGCCGGCGGCGACAACGGCCGCCTCCTCGACGCCGCTCTCACCCACCCGCATCTCCCGCCTGCAGGAGAAGCAGGACCTGCAGCACCTCAACGACCGGCTGGCCGTCTACATCGAGCGGGTGCGCTCCCTGGAGCTGGAGAACGACCGCCTGCTGGTTAAAGTGTCCGAGAAAGAGGAGGTCACCACCAGGGAGGTGAGTGCAAGTGTTTAACCGGGGCCGCCTCGACGCGATCGTCTTCACTTGGCCTCTTTGCTCGTATACCGCCAAAGTAGAGCAAAAGATTTCAAACGGTCCGTAGATGGGTTAACGCGAAACGTGGGTGGCATGCGGCCAAATGGCCCGAACGCTTCTTTCTTTCTTGCCCCCCCCCACCCAAGAAAAAAAAATCAAAACAAACAAATACAGAGGAACCACCTCTTGCTTCAGCAAGTTTTGACTTACTAAAGGGGAACTCGTCGATATGATTGCGTTTCAAGCGGATAAAAGTTGCCCGGGACTTCCAAATTCGAATAGAGAGCGGTTGAGTGTGCGCGCCATTTCCTACCAACGCCCCCTCCATCTTTTAACCGCTTCGCTGATGTTCTTCCCCCTTTTCTGTTCTTATTCCCCATCGTCCAAAGTGGAACTCTCGCCACCGAACATTTAACCGCCCCTTTGTTTTCAGTTTTCCACTTTGTCTTTTTCCCCCAACCGGCGTTATTCTGTCAAGTTGCGAGTAAGATTTTTAAAATGAATTAATTGCAAAATCCCCGCACACTCGGACAGATTTCTTAAAACACGATTCGAATGATGGCATATCCTGATCTGTCGAGTGGCAAAATCAAGATGTTAGGCGTGACCTATTTGATCAAGGTACTTTCTGACTTGAATAACTTTTTTCCCTTCGTTGAAAAGGTTCGTGTCATTTGAGAGAGTGGCAAACACAGAAAGCTCCAACGAATAATGCTGCTCATTATTTCCGCGGGGCCTTTACATGAACAGTGAAGTTCACCCACACCGGGCCGGTAAAAAATTAATTCATAAATACAACGAAATCAACATCTACTTGCTTTTTTTTAACATTCAGTATTTTCAACTTTATCCACTAAAATTTTTCAAGCATCATTGATGTTTTTATTGCGCAGTGCACATTTTTCCCCCCTGAGCCAGGTGAAAGCCTTCCTTAATATGTGGCTGTGTGACATCAAAAAAACGTTGAGTATGTGAAATAAAAATATCACAAAGGTGCAAAATGTGATTTTATTTATTTTTTTCTTCAGTATAGCACGCTGCATTGTTTTTTGCTTATGTTTCCATATTTGTTGCTCAGTTCTCGGCTGCCCAACATGGATCAAAAAAGGTTAACTAAATAAACTTATGCTGTAATTGCGGATGTTAAAAGGTGTTTTTCACAGCAGAAAATGAGGGATTTTTGTCCACTTGGGTGCATAAAAAATGTACTGTCGTCAATCAGTTCTGCTGCCAATATTTGACATATTCAACACCCGGATCACCCCCATCAGCATACTATTTATTGTATGGAAACGATTTTGCATATATATTCCCTCTCCATTAAAAGTTCAACAAATCAAAAAATTGAAGAAATTTCATCGACTTGGACTTGACCTCTAAGTCAAGTGTGGCGACACACACATTGTATTCAAACAGCGGCGTTTTGATATATTTCAATAAAAAAGAATGACATGTGGGCCACAAGCGTACCGTAAGCGATCTACACGCAGGATATATAAATAACCCTTTGCGACCTATTTGTTATTTAAACCTGAGCGGTTACTGGAGGGGGGGGGCACTGATTCGCAAAATCGAGCAGGGGGGTTTTTGAGCCCGTCGTGACCGGTTCCACAAAGACGCTGTTCGCCGTCCCAATTGGTGTCAGAAGTGCGTCAAGTGTTTCGAGTTATCACCTTTACCCAGCGCGCGACTCTTGTTCTCCCATGATTGCGTCTTTCTCCAAGTGTGCGAGATGAATGTCGCTGCTATTTCATCCCTCACCGGAACGATAAAGTCCTCGAGAAGGGTCCTGCGTTATGATCGCTGTCGGGTTTCATTGCATTTGGAGGCTGCCACATGTACCAATCATTCACATCCTCCGGACGCAAAACCGGCGCGAGCATGTGCTGCGCGTTAGCACGGGAAAATCGGCTCAGCACATTTTTCGCATTCCTCGTTGGGACATACCATCGCGAGCACTCGTCGTAGTCAAAGCGAAAAGACTTTCCTTTGCTTGCTCTGACGGCCATCACCACGACTGGCAGGAAAGGAAGCTGTGAACGTTTTACGTGACTGAAATGATCACAGAAATATCGGGGAAAAATTCACAGGCACAGCTTCAAGCTGGACACATTTTGACACATTACAGGATTGTAGTTTGCAGCTCTTTCAACTTGAGTTCTTGACTTTTGGCGCTAGGAATTGCAACCGCCATCCAAATTGAATTGGAATGCATGTGAGACCTGCACAAATGCATCTGCCAGAACGCTCATCTTGATCCCCCGACGCAAGAAAGAATGGGAGCTCACAAGCTGGCACTTAGCCACGTTAAGATATTTGATGATCCTCTTGAAGGAAAAGGAGTTCCCGTATAACAGCCGCTCACGCCGACTTGTATTTGAATTGCAGCCAGTGAAGCGATGCGCTGAGTAAATGAAAGTTATTACGCTGTTAACAGAAGTGCAGGATTTTTTAAAAGTCTAAATTCTGTGAAATGAAAAGCCTGTTTTGTCAACCGTTGCTTGTTACAAACTTGACATTCACCGTCCAATATTTTGCACATATAATGTGATCCCAATGTACCGTGCGCCAATGAAGAATCTGGTCACCCGCATGAAGAGCCAAACCAGAAAGTTGCTTGCACCGGCGCGACCGGTGGAACTTGGCTTCTCGTCTCCCGTTGACTGCTGGATCTCGTCACCCGACTTCCAGGATGATCCCTTTGCCTTGTGTTTAGGTGAGCGGCCTGAAGCATCTGTACGAGGCCGAGTTGGCGGACGCCCGCCGGGTTCTGGACGAAACCGCCAGGGAGCGCGCCCGGCTGCAGATCGATCTGGGCAAGGCCCAGGCCGACTTGGAAGAGGCCACACGCAGGTGACGCCTCATCTCGAGAACGCGCTGTGCCGATCCCTTTGAGCATTTCATCCAAAGCACACTTAGGCCCCACGTGCCAGTACGCTTTGGGTCCTCACTCCAAGGACAACTAACTGCATGTCACTTGTGAGGCAAAACCGCACCGGTCGGACTCGGGAAGCGCAAGCGTTTGCCAATCTTAGCCCGAGGTCCTCCGCCCGTGCGCAGGTTTGCCTCGGTCGTCTCACCTGCTCCGCCATTAGTTTGCTCAAGTTGTCCCGCCCGATGGGACAAAAAGGGCCGTGTCGTGGCCGTGGGTCAGCTGATATCTGATGGCGGTGCTTTTCTTCCCTCGGCGTGCCAGTGGCAAGAAGAAGGATGGCGACCTGGCGGCGGCCATGTCGCGGGCGGGGGCTCTGGAAAGTCAGCTGAACCAGAGCGAAGCGGCGCTGTCCACGGCGCTCAGCCAAAGCGCCGCGCTCACCTCCGACCTGCTTGAAGTCAAGGGCCTGCTGGCTAAGGTTCGCTGCCCCTTTTCTCATTTGCACGTCATCCGGAAAGTGAAAGCAGTTCTCTTTTTTGGGAAGGTGATGTCGGGTCATACTGGGGCGGGGGCACTTCAAAGCTTGTACCCTAGCAGGATCAATTCATCAAATTCGAGAAGCATACATTTTCCAATTCCGCTGGACCAAGGATATTCCGGTTTATTGGGTAGAATTAAAACTACGTTTACCCAGTGATAAATTGGATGACTTTAGTGTTGAAGGCAGACTTGAGAAAATAACTGGGGGGGGGGGGGTTATAATGGTGGCACAGCTGTTGCACATGTGTCACCAACTCGTGGCCCAGCCTGGATATTGCCGTTTTTCTCGAACGTCGTTGCAGCCATGCCAACAGTTTGTCGCCACCTGTTTGCCGAACACCCCCGCCCCGCTCAATTGCCGCATTGTCCGATGCAGATGAGCCCGCCGACCCGGTGTGAAAATTGATTTGAACGCTTTGCAGGCGGAGGACAGCCACGCCGTGGCCAAGCGGCAGCTGGAGGCCGAGACCTTGATGCGCGTGGACTTGGAAAACCGCTGCCAGTCGCTCAGCGAGGAGCTGGAGTTCAGGAAGAACATATTTGAGGAGGTGAAGATGATTTCGTCGCAACGGGAAACGCCTCCACCTGCGGAAGGGAAGGGCGATGTTAAGACGGTTGTTTTCCTTCAAATGTCGGTTTAGGAGGTTCAGGAGTCTCGCCGCAGACAAGAGCAGAGAATTGTCGAAGTGGACTCAGGAGCCAGACAGGACTACGAGTTCAAACTGGCCCAAGCTTTACAGGTAGGCAGATCGGTGCGTGTGTGAGAGAGGGAAGAGTGAATGAATGACAGAAGGTGATGTGTGAGAGTAAGAGAGCGTGCGCGCGAGCGAGCGAGCAGTTCCGCCATTGATCCAATACGTACGTGCACGGCAGGACCTACGGAAGCAGCACGACGAGCAGGTGTCTCTGTACAAGGACGAACTGGAGCAGACCTTCCAGGCCAAGGTTGGCGAGCGCCGCGTTGTCCAAATTCCAAATTGGGTCACCTCAAAGTGAGACCTTTTGTTGTTTGTTTGAAACCTCACAGCTGGACAACGCCAAGGTGTCGTCAGCGATGAACGACAAGGCCGTGTGCATGGCCAGAGAGGAGCTGCAGGAGTCACGAATGAGAATCGAGGGTCTGAGCTACCAGCTGAGCGCCCTGCAGAAACAAGTACTCTAGCCTCCGCCGCACTTTGCCTCTTGGCCGCCCGATCCTCGCCCTGCGCGGTCCTAACGAGATTGGCGTGTGCGCGTGCAGGCGGCGGCCGCCGAGGACCGCGTGCGGGAATTGGAGGACATCCTGTCGTCAGAGCGGGACAAGTACCGCCGCGTGATGGAGGCCAAGGACCTTGAGATGAACGACCTACGCGAGCGCATGAACACGCAGCTCTCCGAGTACCAGGAGCTGTTGGACGTCAAGCTCACGCTGGACATGGAGATCAACGCCTACAGGAAGCTCCTGGAGGGCGAGGAGCACAGGTGGGCTCGTTGGAGGTGGACACAATTGACGACCCTTCAGCGGGGAGTTCAAGTCCAAATATTTCCTGACACTGCTGGTTTCTACGCACCCCCGCTCGTCTAAACGCGGCATTCTGATGCCGATTGCGTTTGTGCAAGATGGCCATTTTACCGCCTACTGCCACTTGCTGTCAACAGAAACGACGTCACAGTGCCTAAGGGCTCAGGTGATGACCGTTCGGGCTCACCCGTTTTTCCGCGTGGGTTCATGTGACATTCACAAGCAGAGCCCTGAGGCACTGTGATGTCATTTTCAGTCGACGCCAAGTGGCGGTATCACGCAAAATGGCCGCCCACGAGCAAAATGACTGCCACCCTCAAGTATCAGGTTTGTGCTCGCAAGTCAAAGCAAAACCAAAAGTCACCCCAAAGACTGCGTTCATCTCGTCAAAGTCTGTAACTCGCCGCACGTCTTTTATCTGGAGGCAGCGCTGAACGAGAACAAGCATTCCCCTTCATCTGGTTAGGTGAGACGAAGTTGACGTCGGTGACGTTTCTGTTCCCGCTTGCAGGCTCAAGCTGTCTCCCAGTCCGTCTTCCCGCGTGACCGTTTCCAGGGTGACGGGCTCGTCCTCATCCCGCACCTCCAAGCGCAGGAGGGCGGACCTGGAGTCTGGCGACCTGGCCGACATGGGGCGCGGCGAGGAGCTGCTGCTGGCCTCCGAGGAGGACATGGCCAGCGGCGCTGTCTCCATCTCGCCCACCGACATGGACGGCAACTCGGTCACCCTGGCCAACGACACGGATCAGGTGCGTGCTCGCGCCTTTTGCCCATCTCCTGCCCCGTTGCCCGCTTTGCCGTATTTAGAATGTGCCGTGCGGTCACAGGACCAGCCTTTGGGGAGCTGGAGACTGAGAAGACAAGTGGATGACGCGGACGAGATCGTCTACAAGTTCTCACCGAAGTTTGTTCTCAAGGCCGGACAGACCGTCACCGTAAGATGATGTCGCTCTCTCTCTCTCGCTGTGTGGCCGCGTGACTGTGAAACATGAGTGTGTTCACGCAACACAAAGACATCAAGGATGACAGAAATTGCATGTTTACTGTTGAGAAGCTGAAATACGGAGCTTTTGGGCAGATTCCAATGAAAAAGGGGGTGGGGGGGGGTCCAAACAAGTCATTGATGATCAAAAATAATAATTGATTGATGTCATGATCAGCTGTCAATTCTTGCACCCCCTCCGTATATGCAGTTGTAAATATTTGTGGCTTTTGGGAGTTACTCAGACGAACGGCTGCATGCTTGTGCAGGTGTGGTCTGCAGACGCCGGCGTGGCCCACAGTCCGCCCACTGATCTCCTGTGGAAAAGCCAGTCTTCCTGGGGTACCGGAAGTGACGTCATCACCAGCTTGGTCAACTCTGACGGCGAGGTAACGGCTTCCGCTCATTGTGCGACGGACAAATTGGGCGGGCGGCTGGCCGCACGTCTCACTCCCCCTGTTGCGTGCGTCCTGCAGGAAGTGGCCAGACGCAGCGTCAGCAAGAAGGTGCAAGTGGAGAACGGAGAGGAGGAGGAGGACGGCGAGGAGCCGGTGGTACACAAGAAGGTGAGCGCACCCTTTTTCATTCGTGCACCTATTTGGGATTGGCGAGATGGGGCAGTTTGGACATCTACCAAGTTGGGAATTGGGGGTTGGTGTCATGGATGCCAAACGATGACGTGTACGCCGTCTGATATGGGCAGAGCGTGGCATCAAAATTCGACCAATAAGTGAATTTTGGAGCGTCGACCGATGACACAATGGCTTTCGTGTGAATGATTTGCCGCATTTGAAGTAAGCGATGCGCCGGTGTGCCCCGGCAGGCCAAAATGACGTCCAGGGAGTGCGCCGTCATGTGAAGCCTCAGCAGCGAGCGTTGGAGCCTCTCTACCTTCGTCCTCATCCTGATCCTGTCCGTCGCATCTGGACAAACACCTCCAAGTTTGTCTTAGCCGCCACACTTTGATAGCAGCCCTCCTTTGTTCGACGACAATGTGTATGGTTTGTTGTTGGCCAACAACATTCTCACTGCCAGCGTCACCACCAGATTCCTGATAGTTTTTTCCTTTTTTTTTTTTTTTTTTTTTTTAACCACTTTCCAGAAAGGCTTCCATTGCACCGTTGACATAAAACCATCACAAATGTTGAATTTTAAACATTTCCTTCGCTTTTGTTGTTTTTGTTTTCCCCATATATGAACATTTGATTTTGGCATGAAGCCAACTGGTGATGCCATGTGATCAGCTCCTCATTTCTATCAACTTTTTAGAACCACTTGAGCCTGATTGATTGGTTGGTTGATTGTTCCTTTGAGCGGTTCAAATGTATCGAACACTACAAAGACCAAAAAAAAAAAAATAACAGATTATTTCACTCGTGGGTGTGGAAAATTTGCTGATGGTTTCCAGTAAATGTACATGGGGAATTTTAGAAAGATTCCAACTCGGAACCTTTCCATGGGAATTACCTAGGAATTGTGGGTAATTTGATGGAAAGCTACACAGTCAATAGTGAATCTCAACCAGGGCCTCAATGAATGATTGTTTTTAATAGTAGATCAACCTAAGAATCGGGTAAAATGTTCTGTTCGCATTGATGAATAATTTGCTGATTTGATCCTTGTGCATATCTGACCATGCTTGCAGCACAAAGGGGGGGGGGATCCCCTTATTGAACACTTGTACACAACTTGGAACGGGGGTTGACGAACAAATCTGAAATCTGACTTGTTTTAGTCCAGCCTATTGAACTCATTGACTGCCAGCCCACTTCAGATGGCTCTTGGACACCTCTAACCGTCTCTGGCAGTGAACGGGTTAAGAGAAGACCTTCGAGTTTCTATGTTCCTGTTCTCGTCCCACTAGGGGGGGTTTCCATTATTAAGTTCCCGGAATGCTGCAAGCCTGTTTGTCAGTTTCTGTCATACTGGCCACAGTTTAAAGAGTGTATCGATTGGCCGGCGTCTGACTCGGTCCTTTGAATTTGGGAGCCGCAGTGCCGAACCGAGTTTGATCTTTTCATGCAAAGCGTACAAACGAGTCATTTCCACTTCTTTGCTCGTTGGGGTGCAGTCGCTCGCCGTCATCTGACTTCGGCTGCTCAAATGATGACAAACAAAAAGATATATATTTAAACTGACCTTTTTTATTTTTCAGGAAAAATGCATGTCACGTGACGTGAGTTTCGAACACGCCTTCCGTGACACGGTGTTTTGTGTGCGTGTGTGTTTTCATACCATGTTTTACACTAGATATTTTAGTTTGTTTTTTTTTTTTGGCAGTGTAATCAGTTTGTTTACATTTAATATGACTTCAATTTTGTCTTAAGGATCTCCGGGTGATTATTTTGGGTGTTTATAACCTCCATTGGAATTTGCGATTCATTCGTTAAAAGTCCCAGCTAGGCGTCAATGCGTCCGTTCAATGCCGATCTCTTCCCTCTTGGATTGGCCAAAGTCTGTTAGCCAGCGCTAACATTTGGATGTCTCGCGACACGCACCCATCACTTGGAAAGAACAACAAAAAAAGCAAATATTTGTATGCACAAACAGAACTCGTGACATTACAGAATGTGATGACATGTTGAACATAAGCACCCAACTTGTAGTCGGTGCCTCCGAGACCTGTTTTGTTGTGTCGGGGTGCTAGTAGGGGGGGGCTTGTCATTTTAACTGAACTTTTTTGTACCCACAATAAATGTTTTACATTTACTCAAACTTGACTACTTGATGACTGAGTCTCATATACACACACACCAAGAAGCTGTGAGCTTTGGTTGGTGATGGTCTGGAAGTCTGAGTTGTTAGATAAGGCGTTCTCGAGAAGATTAATTGTTTAAAATGATTCACGAGAAGTATATACTTAAATTATCCATCCGTTTTAGGATTAGCTAAGAAAATCTTTTTGTCTCACAATAGAGAAATTCCCAAGTTACAGCAGCAAAATTATGAAAGTGAGAAAATAGAAGACAAAAAGTATATCAAAATAAATATATCCATCCATTTCCCGATCTGCTTCATCCTCACAGGGGGCTGGAGCCGATCCCAGCTCTCTTCCGGCAGTAGGCGGAGGACACCCTGAACTGCTTGCCAGCCAATCACAGGACACACAGAGACAAACAACCATCCGCACTCAGGCGTCCAGAAGGAATCCTAATCAGATGCCCGAGCCACCTTATCTGGTGGAAGGAAACCTGAATACCCGGAGAAAATGTACGCAGGCCCGCAGGAGAACACACAAACTCCACACAAAGACCGGAGCCCGAATCGAACCCTGCACCTCTGCACTGTGAGGTTAACGTTATCTCTATATGTGCCCTGCGACTGACTGGCGACCACTTGAGGGTGTCGTCTGCCTTTCGCCCGAAGTCGGATGGAATCGGCTCCAGGAAAGCCCCGCGACCTTGTTCCGGAGAAGCAGTGTTGAAAATGGATGGATGGGATGGTCTTGAATCAATGCTGAATAATTCTGGCATGCATTTCATATCGTGACCAGAGATGGCGCCAAATCAAGGGAGAGTGGCCGCTGCCGCAATCTAGAAAGAAAAGGAGGTGAAGAAGACGAAGCGGCAAAGTGGTGGGGGAGTTGTCCATCAGACTTCCAGGTTGATGAAGATTTTTTGATCTCTATTTGGTCTGAGGAACATTCACTGTGACATCATGCTGCTGGTATTGTCCGAGGAACATAAGGAACACCTCAACTTCCTCAACAAGGTGGACGCGGCAGGTAAAAATAAGCATCGAATTGCTTGACTTGCCCCAGTGGCTGTCACGGGGATAGATGGGAGATCCGCCGCTTTTATCACGCCAAATTAAAGCACAATCATATCCGTCACGATGGTCATTATTACCTGAAGACTCCGCCTTTCAACTATGTTGGGTCGTCTCAGTCTGTGATTTGACGCTTCGCCTCCGATTGCCTCTAAAACTAAAGTATTTCGTACACAGCATCCGGAATATTTTTTTCCCATGTTATGCGAAGGGCTCCTTTTCGTACTTTTTTATGCACTGGAATGGAGAAAACATCAGAGAAAATGACGATTACTTTCATGTAATTTTAAGGAAAAATATTATCTAAAGATATGTATGTATCTAAATTGTTGTCCCCAATAGCACAGCTCTAGTTTGAACTGCATCAAGTCTTTCTCGCTATTGTAAGTAAAGACAGTGAAATCCTGAAAGTGATAGTTTTGTGTTTTTCAGTGGTTGGAGAGTTTGGGCGCATCGCACTGGAATTCATCATGAGAGGAACCAGCCCCAAAGTCTACGAGGGAGCCGCAAGTAAGTCATTTTGTCCACGGATGACAGTTGTTGTTGTGCACCAAGTTCAAATGTTGAAAGATATCATCCAAGGACTTTTTCCTCAAATGAAATTGCTCTCTTGACCACGTAAGCGAAGCGTGGAGCCGTTGCAGTGTATTGAGCCACAGTTGCGATTTGCGGTTTGTGTGCAGGGAAGCTGTCGGTGCCTGTGGAAGTGGTGCGGCACGGCGTGGAGGGACTCATGTACCTCATGACCCAGAGCTCCAAACACATGGTGCCCTGCCCACTCTCACACATCACTCTTGCAGGCTCTTGGTTCCCACTCTCACATTTCCCTGCCAAGCCATGCTTTTTCAGGCACTCTCACAGGCCTAGGCCTGTGCCAGTGTTGGTGTTTCTGCTTGAATATGATACCTGCCCGTTAAAAGTCCCTCAATTACTGTTAATGAGCGTGCGTTCCCATTATTCCCGTGGATACTTCCCAAAATTCCCCAGGTTAGCATCATGTGGAAATTTAGCCGAAAGGTTTGCCTTGTGTTAAAAGAATCATGTTGCGATCGCTTGACACTAACATTTTACCCCATTTCTGTGCGTGTAGTTGTCTGAGGTGGACTTTGTGGACTCAGTGTTGTCATTAGAGTTTGGTGATGAGCTCAACCAGCGCCTCCTACAGGTGATGTTGGATTTTTGTTGTTGTTATTGGTGGTGGCAGTGGTGTGTGTGTGTGTGTGTGTGTGTGTGTGTGTGTGTGTGTGTGTGTGTGTGTGTGTGTGTGTGTGTGTGTGTGTGTGTAAAACGTCCATGTATGAGAATGTGCTTGCCGAACAATTGAATGACTGGTCGGTCATTAAATGTCTTTGCCAGATGTACCAGCAGCACCGTAGCGAGATCCGCAGCATCTTGAGTCTGGTGTCCACCAGCTTGCCTGCTTACCACAACCTGGAGTGGAGGCTCGATGTACAGGTGCGCCAGATCCACTTGTCTGTGTGGATGTCTGAGGCTGCGCACGTGTGTGTGTGTGTGTGTGTGTGTGTGTGTGTGCGTGTGTGTGTGCGTGCGTGTGCATGCGTGTGCATGCGTGTACCTGTGCCGACATGTGTGAACAAATGCATGGTTGTGTATTTGCGTGGAGTTTGTGTGGGTGCATATGTATGTCTTTTTCAGCAAATGTGTGCATATATGTAAGTGTACCTGCGCTTGTGTGTGTGTATGTGTGTTCTGCCTGGCGTTTTTGTGTGCACACACATGCCGCTAATCGGACACTCTGCGCCCATTCCCAGTTGGCCAGTCGCTCCCTACGCCAGCAGGTGGCCCCCACTTTGGCCACCAAGCTGCACCTGACACACGGGCGCGGTTCTGGCACGGAGCAGAGCTGCCGGGTTCTCCACATGGATCTGGGGACCCTCCTGCACCTTATCTCCATCCTGGAGGGGGCGCTAAGCACCTTGAAGAGCACGCATGCGCGTCGCATTTTGCGAAACATCAAATGACGACTCGCACACGCTACAACGGCGTCCAGATGCGAGTAGTGCCCTCAATTAATACGTACTAGTACACTATTTTTTCCTCACTTTTAAACCCAGAAGAATAACTGTGCCTTACTAGTGATATTTTTCCACAACTCGCGCCCCTTTTGTCGTACTAGTACATGGACCAAACTGATTTGTATGATGGCACATCACATTCATATCGTTAGCCAAAGAGTATAATCACTGATTATGTAATTTTTGGAAGTTTCCACAAAACAAGGAAAAAAAAACCGCAAAAAAACTGAACTCACAAGAAGAAGAGTGCAGTCGGCTCGATTCGACCCTCAATCCTATGAGGCGGACAATAACCGAACTTTTCATTGGCCCAAGCCAATGCAGGGAGGAGGAGTCACTGGCACCCGTGTTGACAACAAGTGGATTTTCATGATAGGGCATCATTTTTTGCATATTAATGTGTGTACCCCTAAACCGCGACTCGTGGGAAGTGGAGTTCTGCACGCAATATTTCTTAAATGTGTTAAAAAGATGACGATGCCAATCGCCTTCACCTTACCCCTTCTGTCATTAAACGCTGACTTTTTTTCTGTTTGACTAATTTTAACTTGTGCGACTGAAAATGTGATGTTAAACTTGCTTGTACACTTGTTAACAAAGGTTGTGTAATGTCACAGTCCTGGAATAAATGACTATTTACAATTCCTAGGTAGTATGTGTGCGCGTGTGTGTGCGTGCGTGTGTTTGTATGTGGGCGTGTGTGTTAACATGCAAGCTCGTTAGAATGTACTAATTGCTTTTCACTTGCTCTGGAAGTTTTCCCATTTCAAAATCATCAGTACCTTTTGAGCATGACCACACGAAAATAGTTCCAGTGTTATTGTGCAACATCATTTTAAGTGGGGCGTTAACACCTGTGTTTTTGTCCCTCATATACACATATACACACACACACGCATATAT